TCGCGGGGGCCCCCCCCCCCCGGGCCAGTCACAGTTCTCTCAGAACTCTCGCAGCCTCGCCTACCTCACAGGGTGCCTGTTATGGGGAGAGGAAGGGAAGGCAATTGTAAGCTGTTTTGAGACTCCTTAGGGTAGAGAAGTGGAGTATAAAACCCAACTCTTCTTCTTCTACATGCACCTAGAAAAGTAACTTTCTAGAAAAACTCTAGGCCTTCACATCTCCACATGTACCATTGCCTGGACGCTCAGAGGATTTGGTTTAAAGTTACTTAGTTTTTGTTTGCAAACATCATATACAATTTATGTTTAGAGGAATATTATTATGGAAAAAGAAATATGTTTGTCACTTAATTTGGGAGGGGCCATGGCTGACTTGCAGAGCATCTGCTTGGCATGCAGAAGGTCCCAGGTTCAATCCCTGGCATCTCCAGCTTAAAAGGATCAGGTAGGAGGTGATGTGAAAGCCCTCAGCCTGAGACCCTGAATGCTGGTCTGAGTAGACAATACTGGCTTTGATGGACCAAGGGTCTGATTCAGTTTAAGGCAGCTTCGTGTGTTCAAGATTCTTGGTTGATAAATATTTAATTAGGCAGGAGCTGTGGCTCAGTGGTAGAGCATCTCTTTGTCATGCAGAAGGTCCCAGGTTCAATCCCTGGTATCTCCAGTTAAAAGATCTGGCATTAGGTGATGTGAAAGACCTCTGCCTGAGACCCTGAAGAGCTGCTGCCAGTTGAGTAGACAACAGTGACTTTGATGGGCCAGTGGTCTGATTCAGTAGAAGGCAGCTTCATGTGTTCAATGTTACGTCAAAGTTATATTGGCTGCGGTCACACGGAACAGAAGCCACACAAGTGAGACGGAAAACAGGCGGAGTTTCCGGGCGCGATCTCACCAGCACATCTGGGAAGCGTAGCACTCCCGTGGCACAACCGAGGCTTCCAGCCGAAACTGCGTGGCAAAAAACTAGTACCTCGGAGGTACTCGTTTCCGGAAACTGCGGGGCAAGGGCGGGCGTCTGATCGCGTTTCCGGTGGCATCCGGCGCCCGCCCATGTCCCCTTGCAAATAAGGTGGGGTTTTTTGTCCACGTCTCTGTGGATACGCACACGCACCCAACGGAGCATGCACATTCGTCGTGTACACACACAAAAAACCAGTTTGCCGCGGCGCGCGCTTCTTCGTTGCGCGCCGGCTTGTCCTGTGATCAGCACCTCTCCCTTGCCATGGAACCTCCACGGTACCTCCACAGGACCTCCACGGGAGGTCTGATCGAGTAACTGCACAGTAGTTTGCCCCAGGGCAAACAGCCACGCTTCTCCCCCGCAGTTTCCTGCCCGTGTGACCGGGGCCAGTGTTTTATAAAAGGTAATATAAGGTAATCAAGAAAGCAAAATTTTGTGTGATTTCTCTTTACCAAAGTAAGCAAATTGAAATAGAAGAGGGAGTGGTTAAAGAAGAAAATGTAGAGGCAAAGAGGAGGAGCCAATTAGAAGGGGTGTGGCTAAATGAGAAAGGGGCTTATCAAAGGGGAAAGGGAGCCTGGCTTTAGTTTTTTGCCCAGGGCCCACAAACACCTGTAACCTGATGCAGAGCCCTGATGCAGAGGCAGAAACTTGGAGTGTCGTTTGCCAGCGTCTAGGCTCTAGCCTGGTCAATCAGTGAACAACATGGTCAAAGGGGCCAACCTCCAGTACCCCGCTGCTGCCTCCTTGCCTCTTGGTTCCCCCCAATCCCATAATCCCACCATGTGATACTGCCCACTTTAGGAACTATTGTTTTAGAGTGTTCAAAGAGATTCACATGTATGATCTTTTTATAGTCCTCACAACAAACTTTTAAAGTAGGTCGGTATTCCTTTTTCCGTATTACATGTAGCTGATTGAGGCAGGGTTTGCTTAAGATCACCAGTTAAAATCATGGCAGAGATGATATTTGAATCTGGGTGCATGTGGTTCATACCCCAGGCTTTTCGTTATGGCACAATTATCATTTTCCAATACTAGCGATGACAGTATACCATACCCATTTATTTTAGTCTCTGAACCAAAGAATAGCCAAGCATGTGTGGTTTTATAACCTGAAATATCACTATTCATGGTAAGACACTCAGGGCTGGAAGATAATTCTGCCTAAACAAGAGTTTGGGCCAGAAACTTTGTTTTCAGAGGTGACATAATGATTGCTGGATCAGACCCAGGAGCTGTTAAATCTCAGAACTAGCCATGGTGAGAGGGTGATTACCTAACTGGCCTTGGTGCATGCACAGGATGGCCTAATGTGGTTCTGCATGAGGGGTATTGTTTCACCTGATGAATTTTTCCTTGTCATGCAGTTCTCCAGAGCTGGGGATGAGTTTGTTAAATGCCAGCTACTGGCATACATCTAGGGGAAAGCAGGCACTAATATCTTTTGAAAATACCTTTCCATCAACCTAATTTTTTAAGAAAACGCATGAGAACCTATGGCCATTCACTCAGAGGGTAGCTTATTACAGAATGCATCTAACCTTGAGAAACCAGTGGTTTGTATTGTCCCTGGCAAGTGGAAAGGTTACAATCGATCTGTGTCTGGTCAGAAATCTAGAAAAACAGATAACTTCCCTTACTTGGCAGGATAATGTAGACAACCAGTGTAGCAAACTGTTAGTATCATGCCAAGTAAGTTACCCTTTGGTCTATTGGATTTAATATACCACACACCTGATGAAGAGGGCTCTAGCTCACAAAAGTTATTCCACAATAAATTAGTTAGTCTATAAGAACCATAAGACTAGATTATTTTGGCGGCTGCAGAGTCATGTAGTCAGCTACTTTCTAGCATTTGATCACTGTATCCACACTCTTGCTTTGACAAAAAAAAGGCTTCATAACCAAAACAGATAAGTGATGGACTGCATCATTTAGTAAAATGTGAAGTGAACTGTCAGAAAGAAGAGGAGGTCTGAAAATGCCATTGCAGGAACTCATTACTACCTAAGCAGTAAATAACATGATATACTCTTGTAGATTCTTGGCTGCATCTACTTGGGCAGCCACTACAATGTTTTTGTGTTCTGCAGTACATTTTCTGTTTGTTGCTAGAGGCCTTGAAAAACCCCAGAAAATAAAAATCTCTATTCAATACTGCCTGCTGGGCATTTAACAAGAGTTCTTGCAAGAGGACCCTGTACAACTACGTACATGAATGGAAAGTGCAGGGGCCAACACAGCATCACAGGCTGTGAGGTAACCAACTGAAGGAGCCTGAGACAAACAGGAACAAGTAGACAATGACTCCTAGTGCCTCAAGGCATGGCTTCAAAAGGTGTCAACACCAATTAAATTGTAAAGGCTCTGTCAGCTTCTGAAAACTTACCCAGACAGGGACAAGACAGGACAGAATCAAAGCTTGATTTTGTGTATTTCATAGTACATGAATGGCTTTGTGATCCAGATGAGACCCCCTTAAAACTTGGACTGTGCTTCAATGTGAAAGAGAACCTGAGCAGTTAGAATGATAGATTTTTCTGATGAAAAACTCCTCGAATTAATTCAGGTGCATAATATATTTGTTTCAATGGACATCTATATCAGAATATTGACAGTCCCAAGCAAGTTTTGTGAAAATTCCAGTGCCTTAATGTTTTCAGAAGTGTCTGGAAATTCCACAGGTGCACCAGCGAATTTTGACACTCCTTTAAAAGTGATTGTTGGCATTCACTGATGCATGTCCAAAACATATGTATTTTTTTACTTAAGTGATCCTACAGTTCCTTGAGTAGAGACTGGGCATTTTTAAGTGACTAATTGCTGACATTCTGACTGTTCCTTCAGTGTAAGATAGCTCTGGTAGATCACTGGTAGATCACTTCCATTCCGTTATCCATTGGGGTAGTATCAAGGACTTCACTATTCACTTCTATTCCCTCTTTCTGATTTTAGGTTACAGAAGTTTCATTTCCAGGAAAAGAAGAGGAGATTCAAAGCACGTAATCTACCACTGACCCTACTTTGAAACATAGGCTTGGATGTACCGAAACATTTCCATGAATGGAAGTTTTGCCCATGAAGCATTGCTTTTAGTCCCCCTCCCCACACTGTAGTTTAGAAATGTCCCCTGAAATGCTCTTCTGGGGGCCTCCTGTCCCCAGCAGCAACATTTCAGTGGACACTTCCATCCATGGAAAATGCTCCAGTGGATCCTGGCCACATCCTCATTCTTTTTTTCCCTTTTTTTTTGGCCCCCCGAAGGGGATTTTTTAATTGCATTTTATATAAGGACTACAAACTACAATGAAAATAAGGGAGGGGAACTACATTTAAGGAGAAAGAAAAGATAACCACTACTGACTAAAAACCCAAGAGAGGAGATCGTCAAATTAGCTTGTACACAATGCCATCTCTTAAAACGCTAATATAACTTTTAAATCTTAAATTTAGCTGTTGGAAAAAGACCCCTAAGCATCTCTATATTAACAACAGTATTTTCAAAGGCACAATTCAGAGTCCTTCAGCCTTCATTTTTTCTTATCCTGTCTTTTCCACAGTTTATAAGGACTTTTAGGAGCCGCTACCCCTTTCTCAGACAGAGAGTCCTCTCCAGAAGACCCTGAGTCCAGCTTGCCACTAGACTTACTGTCCTTTTCCTCTTTATCCACCTCCTCTGGCTCACCCAACTGGATTCTCAGAAAGTCCCATGCTTTGGAAACAGAGTCAGTCTTTTCTTTTTTGTCCTGAAGTTTGAAGGTTATGCCCTCTGGATATAACCACCGGTAGCTAATTGCATTTGTTTGATGAAAAATAATTAAATCTTTATATTTCTTTCTCCTTTGACTTATTTCAAATGGGATATGTTTCAGAATCCTGATAGTACTGTCCCCAATTTTCAAGGATGTCCCCAACGTTGCTCTCAGGATACAATCCCTCACGTGCCTCTTTGAGAATCTCATTACTATTTCCCCAGGCAGTTTATTCTTCTTTATGTATACGGAATAGGACCTGTAGGCCTCATCCATTTCGCTCATGAGATAGTCCGCCTTCAAATCTGTCACTGGGGCCAATGCTTCGCTCTTCATTTGCTTCAGATTCTCACCCTTAGTCTCTGGAACACCTTGGAAACGAAGGACCAGGTTTGCCTTCTCCATTTGTAATTGTAAAAGCTGTTCTTCTGTTGAAATTTGCTTCTTTTCCAATTTTTGTACCTTTTTCTTCACCTTTTGAGCAGTGGTGTCAACTTCTTTCACTTTCTCAGCTGTTTGTTCCATAATTTTAAGAGTATTGTTCAATTGTGTCTGCTGAGTAGTGATACATTGGTTCATTATTGACAGCTGTTCCTTGAGATTAGTCATCTGATCCAGCAGGGGGTGCAGGGACTCTGCCAACATTTTAGCCAACTCGATGGTTCCTTCCGGTTGTGGACTCTCAGCTACTTTTGCTTTTAAAAGTTTCTCCTTCTCCGTCCTCTTCCCCGCCATCTTTATGAGTTGTTTACTTTAGCAAAGATTAGCAAAGTCTCTAAATATGCACTCAAATGCTCATACACACCTTGGTAAGTCTTTCCCAACAGGTTTCGTGGCTTTTGTTTCCGCTCCCCTCCCCCCGTCTCACTTTTAAGTTTATGCGCATGGGAGGGACCCCTTCCCTGCTCACTTTGTTTTCTAGTCCGTGGGGTAGGGAGCTTTCTTTTT